AAAAAAAAAGCATGGCTATGAATAGACTGATAATCGTTTTGACCAAAACTCACACTTTTAAAGAGTTATCTTTCTTTAATATCTTATCTGCCTATACATTTTTAAATAACTGTAGCTTCACAATGAAACGAAACGGCCAAAAACAAAGATAAAAATCTATTTGACACAGTGTTATTTTAATATTGTTTACATACTATTATTTAATAATATATTAAATTAGATTTCATTTTCATTTTTTAACTTTTATGTGCTTTGTCATGTCTAGTTTTTCTAATATTTTCTAAAAGTCTTTAAAAAATATTTTTATACAGCTTTAAATTCTTGTTCATATTTTAGTTTCAGGAACTTTCACTTATTATTGGTACATATTTTTATTTCAGTCATAACATTAACATTCTAAGCCTTTTAAGTTTATCATCTAATATTTATACTTTAAGCTTGTTTTAAATGATTGAAAATGATTTTTAATAGTTTCAGTTTTAGTTAACAATAACAACAATGATTTAAGACCATTTAGATCACAAAACACCTTTGCACAAATTTAATGGCACAAATAACAATAACAGTAATATATTTGTTTTAGATATTATTATTAAAAGTAAAATATTCATAATGCATATGTTTTTATTGTTGTAGTCTAATGATACTATGTCAAAAATCAAAAATAATATAGTAATCCAAATGACTTCCATTCTATATTCAAAGGGAAAATAACAACGTGGTTTTGGATGTATGAAGATGACTAAATAATGAAATAAAGACACATTTGTGGCAAAATAATGCTCAAAATTTCTCTCTCAGATCCACAGGGTTTATTCTGGAGGGATTTCCCCAAAACCAAGAGGAGGTGTCCTTTATGGTGGAGCATCACTTGTTTCCAGATGTAGTGGCAATGATGTCGGTCGAGGTTTCTGACGTGGTGCGGCGTCTCCTGCCTTCGCGGCTCACACGTTGGAGAGAGAGACGAGACCGCAGGCAAGAACAGTTGCGTCTGGTCATTAAGCTGAAGAGGGAACTCAGGGTGAGTGTTTAAGCCAAACCTTCAGCACTTGGGATAAAAGGTTGTAAAAACCAAAAAGGAGAAATAAACAGCTGATATGTACCATAAAGCAGGTGAAACTTTTTGTTTTTTTTGACTGTGTCAAACTGCAGGAGCGGGCCATCACACAGAGAAGAGCTGAGCTTATGGCTGAATGTGCACCTAAAAAACCCAGCCCACTCACTCTGAGGCCCCTCAAAGAACAGGTCATCGATCGCTGTCATTGTGTCTTGCTTCGCTGAATGGCTCAGACAGATTCTGACTGGATTTTTGTTGCTACATCAGGATGAGGATGACGAGGAGGTGCAAGAAGAATCAGAGGCGATGGACGAAGAGCAGCAGGAATTGGAGGAGATGGAGGCCATGCTGCTGGAGGAGTTTCCTGCTGTGGAGGAAGAGGAGGCAGAAGATGAAGAAACAGAAGCTGGTGCAGAAGAGAAGCTGGAAATGGAGATCAGTCAGAGGTTTGAGAAGGATGACAACAGCCTCACCAGTATGATGGTAAGGAGAAGATGCTGAAAGGGCATTTTAGAAACAAATACATAGTTCATTATGCCATTTAACTCCTAAGGAAATGGACTTTTCTTGTTAGGAAGATTTTAATGCTTTTGTTCAATTAAATTCAATAAAATAAAGTATGGATTGTTTTTTTTAGGACTTACTAACAGACAACCAAATCCCCCGTCTGGTTATAAGTGCAGGCCGCCCGCCTCGGATTGTGAGGTACCAGCTCCTACAGGGAATCAAACCTCTGATGGTTAACAGAGAGTCACTGTTTCAAATGTGCCAGCCAATCAGCTACAGTCTCGCCAGAAGACTCCTGTACAGATCCTTGAAATATCCCAGTGCCTTCGGGTGCTGGGATCCTGTTAAGGTAAGGGTGGATGTACAACAAATTTTCAATGAATATGAAAATAAAAGCCTAAAACAGCATAAAAATAAAACTAGGGAAAACTCAGTTTGCTGATATGTTCTGTAGTATGCAGAAGGAGATTTGATCCAGCCTCTGCAGGGCCCTTTCAACGCCACCTTCCCTGTCATCCTACACCAGTTCATCTACTTTTTTGCATCCAAGGAGACACGCAACACCTTTATCCTCAACCCAATCAAATATCTTCGTCAACCACATCCCATCCCTTCCTTTCCCATCAAACTGGCTCTCATTGGCCCACCCAAAGCAGGCAAAACCACAGGTCAGTCATTACAAGTGTTTTTTAGACACTCAAAAATATATGATACCTAAAAAGCAATTATTTTGTTGTAGTTCATGGCCTCTTAACTGTGTGTACACTCAGTGGCCCGGGTGTTTGCACGTGAATATGGTCTCGCTCGTCTCTCAATTGGGGATGCAATACGTATGGTGCTCAACAACCAGGCCAAAACTGAGTTGGCTAATCAAGTGCAAAAGCATCTGAACCAGGGCTTGACTGTACCTGATAAACTGGCCATCCAGTGCCTGGAAGTGGCAGTAATGAGCCTGGTCTGCAGCACACGTGGGTGAGGACCACAACTATATCCCAATCAAAGAATGTACTTCTGCAAGAAAAATAACCTATATGTGTGTGTGTGTCACTATACATTGTGATCCTCAGGTTTGTGTTGGATGGCTTCCCTGTGACCAAGCATCAGGCTGAATTGCTGGAATCCTGCAGCATTATTCCTATGCTAGTGATTGAACTGCAACTGGACACAGCAGAAGTGCTGCGGAGAGGCCTGAGGGACAGAGAAAAAAACAACAGCAGGTCAGACCAGCACATTTATTTATTTAATTTTTATATTTTCAGATTGCTTTTTAATTTTAGTTCATGTTTTAGTAATTTTATGTGCTTTATTATATATAAGTAATATTAAATATTAACTATTATTTTAATATTTAATATTTCTATTTACATTTATCTTTAATTTCTATTTATAATTTAGATTTTTTTATTTATAATATTTAGATTTCATTTTAATTCATGAAAATGATTTTTAGTACTTTTTGTTAACAATTTAGTAAACAACACTGACCTAAACTTACCTGGGGGGTATTCCAGAAAGCAGGTTATGTGACATACATGTTTAAGCGTAAGTAAGCAAATAAACTCAGCTTTCCATTTCAAAAACAGGGGTAACTTTCAGGGTATGTAAAAAGCCATTGCAGCTTATTCACTGAACATAACCTGCTCCGGAGTTAGTAGGTTATGTTTCAGGGTTAGTTTACTTTTTTCTTAGCATCCGTTTCCATAGTGACTCGTCGATTCGTCGCTCTGTTGAGAATGTCTTGCGTGTTAACCAGGAACATACTCTGAGTTGAATGATATTACTCCTGGACGAGTTTTTGGAACCAGCATACGTCGAGTAAGCAAGGTTTGGGTTAATCAACCGAGAGTTCTGGGTTTATGTGAAGGTAAGTTAACCTTGCTTTCTGGAGTACACCCCTGCTGAAAACTACAACATGACAATGTGTATAAAATGTTTAGTTTTTTTTAACCGTGGACAGTGATACAAATTTCGTGGTATTGTGGTCTGGCATATTATGTATATTAAATGCAAATATTCAAAATTTGTAAGCTTATGGCAGCTCTCTCCAACAGGCCGTACCCAATGCATGACAGCCCCCAGGTCCTAAACATTCGCAACTCTTGCTTCAGGCGGGAAGTTGAAGCTCTCAGGCTACACTTTCATCAACAGTATCACAACTGGACTCCCGTTGATGCTCACAAGAGCAAGTGGTGGGTGTGGGAGCGAGTTTTAGATGAGGTTCGCATTAGCTTGAGACACATTTATGATTACCTGGAAAAGATTCACAAAGGTGAGAGCATGCAAATGACGCACAGTTGTCAAAACAAGAATCCCTAGTATTATACATTCTTAGATGACTTGTTCTATCGTTCTCACAGGCCAGGCAGCCTGTATAGACAGACTGTGCATTACCACACGAGAGCTGCAGTCCCGGCTAGGGGAGTTTGGGCAGTACTGTCCAGTTAGCTTAGCTCTTCATCGCCATCTGGTGGACTGTTCACATAATACCTCACTGGAATTGGCTGCAGAGTTCAGGGGCCACTTCTACAAAATGACCAGCAAGGAATTTCTAGAGGTAAAGGATCAGATGGTCCAGCAGCACACAGAAATATTGGTTTAATTCACTCACATCTCTCTTTATGTGTTTAATAAGAGATTTCTAGAGTCCCCAGAGCAGTTTGTGGCTCCAGGTTGCCCCTACCCATTACCTCCTCTTCCACTCCTGCCTCATAAGCTCAGTGCAGGCCAGGTGAAGAGTAGGTTCCCTCAACAGGTGGAGATGAAGGGTTTCTGCCCTGTCACTTATCTGGATGGTCAACAGAGGTACAGCAAAGACACTCTACAACACTTACGGAAAGAATAACCTTAATTTTACTGTATTTCACGTTATTCTCTTCACCTGTAGGTATGAGGCCTTGGTGCGTGGAAACACGGAGTATGCTGTTGAGTACCAAAATAAGATCTATATCTTTGAGAATGAAAAGAAACGAGAAATTTTTCTCCAGTGAGTAGTTATTTTGCAGAGGGGATTCCTGATTGGCTAGTGCAATTACTTTGCCATTACAGGAATAAAATACATTTTAAAATAGAAAACAGATAATTCACAACAGAACTGTTCTTAGGTCACCTGAGACTTACTGGGACCAGAAACTTCCACATAAACTACCTCCGTTGGAAGATCCGGTCTCACTAACCTCTTTACCGATCCTGGGCTATTTGGAACAAGTAAGAGGGCACTGAAACACAGAATCTTCTGCTTTTGTCTACCTATAAATATTGGTCACATAATTGTGTAACCATCAGTAAACCATGTTTTTAACAAGTGGTAAAATAGTGTTTAAAGCTTTGTTTTTTTGTGGAAATGTATTTACTTATCTTAACCACAGTTGCGTTTGCTATTATTGTACATGTATTCTTTTTAAAATATGTTTGTTTTCTCTTGTAGAGTGTGGCAGTACCCATAATCAAAGCCATGACTGCTGTTGGTCAACTCAAGCCAAAGTTGCCCTTTCTCAGTGTGAAGAAATCTGCTATATTGTACCTGGCCTTTCATCTGAAAGGTGGCCTTGAATGTCTTATTTTAGCTTCCTTTTAGAATAGCTGAAAATGAGAATTCATTCATTCATTCACTCATTCATTCAATGTAGGATATTTTCAAGTCTAAGTAAACACTTGAAATATTTCTACCCTTCTACCCCCACAGCATTCAACAGCAGGAACCCAGACTATATTCGTCAGAAGTACAAAAAGAAACTTCAAAAGTTTGAGGAAAGCTGTGAGCTCATCTCATACCTGAGTACCACCATGAAGACATACAGATCCCCTCACAACCTGCCCCCTGATTTTGCACACAAGCTGGACAGGTTTCTGGCCCTGGAGAAGTCCACCAAAACAGCCTCGGGTCTGATACAGCTTGGGGGAAGTTAGAACATAACTTCAAATAATAAAAACCTTGAGTCAGACTCCGCACATCACGATATTTGACAGTATTGGTTGATGTTACATTAGTAAAATTCATAGATATACATTAATGTGTTCTTTTCAATGGACAATTAAAGATATGAATGAGCCCAATAAATACATTTTAATTTATTTTTGTGATGTGTTCTTGTATTGAACGTTTGCTGTTGTTGTTTTTTTTTGTCAAGAACTAAATGGATAATGAATAAATAAAACGATTGATAGAAAAACGACAGACAGACAGATAGATACTTTTTTTTATTATTATTATGCTTTAAACGACATATACAAAACAATACAAAGCCAGGGGAAAAAAAGAAAAAAAAAAAAAAAAAAAAAAAAAAAAAAAAGGCCCTGGAGAAGTCCACCAAAACAGCCTCGGGTCTGATACAGCTTGGGGGAAGTTAGAACATAACTTCAAATAATAAAAACCTTGAGTCAGACTCCGCACATCACGATATTTGACAGTATTGGTTGATGTTACATTAGTAAAATTCATAGATATACATTAATGTGTTCTTTTCAATGGACAATTAAAGATATGAATGAGCCCAATAAATACATTTTAATTTATTTTTGTGATGTGTTCTTGTATTGAACGTTTGCTGTTGTTGTTTTTTTTTTATCAAGAACTAAATGGATAATGAATAAATAAAACGATTGATAGAAAAACGACAGACAGACAGATACTTTTTTATATTTTTTATTATGCTTTAAACGACATATACAAAACAATACAAAGCCAGGGTAACAAAGGATAAAAGAAAAGGAAAAAAAACAAGAAAAAAAAACGAAAAAAAAACATATATACACACATAATCAGAGACATGCATGACCTTTACATTACTCAAAGATTTTGAAGACAGAACACAAACTGACAGTTTTAATTGCCTTTCTATTAGTACTATGTTGAATAGTACACAAGTAATTTTCCAACTCTTTAAAAAACACTGTAAAACAGGGTTTTTTGTTAGAAAATTTACACTTATGAATGTGAAACTTAACCAACAAAATAAATAGATTAATAACAAAAACTTCGTTATTTACATTATCATAATTAAAATATCCAAAAACTACATTTTCAAAATGCAAATTAAAATTAAAGAGTACCTTTTCTTTGATAAACATAGAGACATCATACCATAACTTTTTAACATAACTACAGTGCCAGAAGATGTGGGGTACAGTTTCCAAGTGCAAAGAGCAAAAAGAGCAGTTAACATCAATATCCTTCTTAAACTTACTGAGAAAATGTTTAACAGGATAGAATTTATGAAATATTTTGAAACAGATTTCTTTTATCTTGTTTGTAACAAAGAACTTGTGAGGCAATAACCAATGCTTTCCCACTTAGGATTTCCAACTAATTTAGTCCAATAAGAGACAGATAGATACTGCATGAATAAATATGCAGAACGGTTCGTCATCGTTGTGCGCCATTCACCGCGGTTACCCTGACAACGAGACGCACACAACATGGCATCCACTGTACATTTAGAGATCGTCGGTCTTTTAAATAAACATAATTTCCAAATAGCCAAAAGCATTGTCGAGGTAAAGTTTTTAAGAGGCTGACCACTTCGTATTTAGCATTTTAACATGGTTAACGGTTAAAAAGGCATACCGTCTCTACTTACAGGGACTGAAAAATAAATTCCCGGAGTCATTTGATGATCCAACAATTCGCCCGTTGCTGGAATGTGACTGGCATGACTATTTATCGAATAAAAAGAGGGTAAGACACTTACTAATTATATACCGCTCGCTTGTTTCCCATATGCATTTTAGTAATAAATCACTCACGCACGTTGACTTGTCAAGGAGCTGAAAGGGGAGGTTTGGCAGTACAGCGGCTGTCTAATGTCCTTTGCAAACGGTCAGTTGCTCGGTGATGAGAGGAAACTGTCCAGCTGGGCAGAGAAAGAGTGGAAGTTTTCTTTCCATCGACCACAGGCGCTTTATAAAGCCCTAGCTGAGGAATATTACACCAGCAACCTGCGAAGCACAGGGGTAAATTAACACAAGAGCGAGGAATAAATGTTAATCCAGTGAATGAATAAACGCACATCATATTTAATTAGACTACAACTATCTATAATTTCACATAATAGCTACAAGGTGTGCAACATCTGCTCTCTCTTTCCCACAGCATATTTTTGTTTATATGGATATTGAAAGCGGTGGAGAGGCATTTGGCAGACTGTTGTTTGAGGTAAATAGATGTTATGCCTCTTGATAATGTAAGCTGATTGATAATTTGATTACTTGAGTTGTTGTGGAAATGTGTTTCCACTTCATTCTTCTCCACTCTCAAAGTGTTTTAAATGTAACCTGTCAGCTGTTCTCAGACTTGTGTCCAAAGACGTGTAGGAACTTTAAGGCCTTGTGCACTGGAGAGGCAGGTTTGTCCAAGAGTAACCTTGAGTTGAGCTATAAGTGCTCAATTTTCCACAGAGTTGTGCAAAATGGCTGGCTGCAGGGTGGAGGTAAGATAATAATCATAATTGTATCGAAATATATATATAAAAAAACTTGTGATTGTATATAATTCATTGATATATTATATGATTTTGATTACAGATATTTCACCTGAAAGGAAAGGCACTGGGGGAGAGTCTATCTATGGCCCAACATTTGAGGGTACAGACAGCGTTTGTGCTACATAAAGTACTTACTTTGGTCGTTAAAGTCAGCATGAAATGGAAATTGTGTCTTTTTTCCCCCCTATCGTTACATAAAAAGAAAAAGGAAAAAATGTAGGCTGGTACCTAATTTTGTAGGCCAATACCTAATTAACTTGATCATTGTCACAAGATTGTGAGGACATGAAAAAAATAATGTGTATGGATAAATCATTTATAAACATTGCAATATTCCATTAAAATAAGAACTGTCAATTATGATTTCATGGTGACTTTAAAGTGTGTGAAATACACATTGTTTGATACATATAAAAAGCACCAGGTGGTTTTCTCTTCTAGATGAGAATTTTGTCGTATCCCACAACAAGCGTGGCATTCTGGGAATGGCTAATCAAGGTGCTCATAGCAACGGCTCTCAGTTCTACATCACACTACAGCCAGCTTCCTGGATGGACCACAAATATGTGGCTTTTGGGTAATGATGGGCAATGGGCAATGGGCAATTCTTACAAAATTGAAAATCTCCATCACAGCTTTTTCTTTCTCTCCCAGGCAACTTGTTGAGGGCACAGAGGTTCTGAAGAGACTAGAGGCAGTGCCCACCTACAACGAGAGGCCCAAACAGGACTGCAAAATATCAGCATGTGGAGTATTTGAGCCCTGAGTAATCCCATACCGCCTATAGATCAAGACAGCAATACAAGAAGCGTTTTTAATAACCATTTTTATTACATGTAGAAATACTTTTGTGCTTTTCTATGTAAAGTTCAAAAATAAAGCCAATTAAAACCTCAATTTATACACTTTACCAGTACTGTTTATGTCTGTGGCACCCATAACAAATGGATTTTTTACGCTGCCTTGTCAGATTTGGTTACCCTTCTGTAGCTGTTTATAAAAGAACCAAAATGCTTTCCAGAGTATGAAATAAAGGAGTTTAGGCATTACCGGGGAGGATTTAGAGAACATTAAAGCAATTCTGTGTGAAAAAGAGAGGGGAAACGGATCATGGTAACTTCATATGCTGCCTTGTTGGATTTGGTGACCATGCTGTATGTAACTAAATGATTTCTAAAATACAGAAGATAGAAATTTAGAAATCACCTGAGTGAATCTGAAGAACAATAAATGCATTCTGTGTGAAATAAAGGTAACATTTCTGTAACCTGTATGCTTTGAAACAGAGGAGATTAGACAACACCAGAGTGAATCTGGAGAACATTAAATCCATTCAAATACAAATTTCATCAAAGTTGTCCTAAAACGCATTCTTGTCTTAGGACAACTTTGATTAATTTTTTTGATTCACTTCAAATGGTGACTACTGCAGATTTCGGTAACTTCTTAAGCCACCTTCAACTGAATAATGAATTCCACTCATTCAACTGTAGGGGGCTCCCAAAGGGCAAAAATACACAAAACTTCATACAGCTGCTTTAAGTATGTCCTTACAACAGTGGTTCTCAATTCCAGTCCTGGGGCCCCCCTGCTATAAATATTAATGCAGTGTTCCCTTTGTTAGACCGAATGCTTTTTCTACATTGTAATTGGGCAATTTTACTGTTCAAGTAAGATAATAAAATAATTTAATCTCAAAATAATTTTTAATCTCCATGAATGTATTTATTTTATAAGTGGGCTGTGGATCACCCCAGAGAAAATGAAGATGAGATTATTATAAAATACAATTTCATGAAGGAAATGGTTCACAGACCCACACAATATTTTGTCGCTCATAATTCATGAAATACAAAAGGCTTGATTTTTATTGTAAGCTTTAAAGCCGAGGTCTCCAACCCTGCTCCTGGAGAGAGCTACCGTACTACAGATTTCAGCTCCAACACACCTGAACCTGCTAATCAAGGTGTTGGAACAGGGTTGGAACTTAAGTCTTCAGGACGGTTAGGAGCAGGGTTGGAGACCCCTGCATTAAAGTGTTAATATAACTTTATTTTGTTTAAAAAAAATTTTTTTACTAAAATAAATACATCTCAATTAACACCGGTCCAGTAACAACCTTTTGCATTTGCTTTAAAGATTTATTGTGTTTGAGTAAGCATTCACACGGCTCAGCTGACGGTGTCACGAGCATGAGTTTAATGAGGACAGACAGCCGAGCAGACCTGACCAAGACACTCACCATGACCACGCCGTTTTCTCCTCCACTTTACATGCAGCGATACCAGTTTGTTATCGACTATGTGAAAACCTACCGACCTAAAAAGGTAAATAAACATATGAATGGCATTTTAAAGTTAAGTCGCGATGGCCTTTGACGCTACGCTTGAACTAGCGTGCTAATCAATAGTCTTTTTACATCTATCCGCAGGTCATCGATTTCGGATGCGCAGAATGTTGCTTACTAAAAAAGCTTAAGTTTCACCGCAACGGTATACAGTTACTAGTGGGAGTTGATATCAACAGCGTCGTCCTGCTGAAGAGAATGTAAGTTTGGTATCTTACCT